CACACACACACACACACACATAAATGTAGAATGCATAATGAGCTAAAATTTAGCTTACATTAAAAACTTTTTTTGATTTCTATCATTAGTAATACATTTGCTAAAAGTACATTAAAGGTTGGCTCTAATGCCCTCTGGCAGGTGAGACCTCTCTTAAACGGACTGCAACAGGACTACATCAGTGCTACATCAGTAGCTGAGGAGATGTCCTGTTCTCCACTTTGTGCCAGAGAAACCAAATCCCACAACTTCAGCCTAACATACACAACACTTCATATCAGTAATAAACTTCAGGTATAGTCATTTCCTCAAAAGTTAGTATTCCCTCCTCTGAGCTTTCCTGTTTTGCTGTCTGGCCCTTCTCTACCTCGTCTCCTGACAGCACTAAGTCTGAGTCCCCTTTCATAATTCTGAGTGAAATCCTTTCTGCGTCACTCATATCACTCTGTCATGTCACACATGATTAGTGGGAGATATGAACTAACAACCCTAGTGATAATTAGGTGTGCAGAACGAAGTTTAAGCTAAAACTTCTTTGTTAAAATCATGTTTTAGTCTTCAGACATGTTACCTTCACCTAACTGTTGATGTCCATGAAATAAAAATACTTTGTACCAGGAATCCACACAAAAATGAAAACGATATCATTACATTATACCATTCTGCAGTCAAGCAAGACCAGATGTCCTTTACATAGAACTAATTTTTTTATTTTTTTTTTTATTTTACTGTCACATATTTCTTTCAACCACAATACTTATATTATATAAAAAAAATTAAATATCAAAAACTTTTTTTGGGGTCTCAGAGGTTCAATGAAAGAAGAGCTATAACATCTATTTACAGTACATCACTACTACTAATGCTACTTTTACTGTTTGGTTCTTATTTTAATGTCTGCTTTGAGTGTTTGCATTCAGAATTATACTTATTAGATATTATTTATAATTATAAACATCCAATTCTAGCTCAGTCATAATCCTCATGGATGATTTCTATTTTAAGCTAAAGGAAAACTGTGCTCACCTTTGCCTTTGCTGTCTGTCTGCAGGCATAATGACTGGCTCCTTCTACTCTGTCTCAACACTTCTCAACCAGATGATCATGACCTGCTATGAGGTAAAATCATCCATCCGTCCCAGCTGAGACTGGGCAAGATGACTCTGGAGAAGTTATGAGTATCACGGGGTCATTTTAGAAATGCCAGTTAACATAACATGCATATTTTGGGACTGGGAGTAATCCATAGCACCCGGAGGCAAACCAAAGCAGGAACAGGGAGAACAAACAGACTCCACACAGAGAGGCCCCACAGAGCATGTGAGGCAGTTAGTGCTAACCGCTGTTACACATTACAGTACAGTAATGTAGCAGACATCCATGACTACAAACACTCATCACAATCAAGTTGATTTGATTCTGAAGAGGTTGTTATTAATAATTAACATAGTAATTGTTATTCTGAGCTCTTAGCTCATGACGATATTCACATAGTTTTGTCATTTTGATCAGGTTGGTTGGTTCTGGTGTCATTAAACTGGTCAATGGATTGCTCACTAGTTTGATATACTAATAAACATACTAATAAATCTTGTGCAAACGATCTTGTGCAAACATCAAACATTTTGATGTTTGCACAAGTTCAAGCCCAATAATTCTGGAAAACCCACTGGTTTGAAATTTCCATCTTACTTATT